CGGGTTTGGGGGGGGGGGGTCCCTGCCTTGGATGAGCACCCTTCTGACCCTTGCACTGCTGCCACAGGTGTCTTTGCCCCAACGCTCTTCTCCAAAGTCTATGGGAGGCTGGTTTGTGGCGAATGCCAGAACATCACGCACAACCCCCTGGGGCACTATCTGTGCCAGAACTGCCACTTTGACCTGGTAAGTCAAATGGGGAGCAGCAAGGTATCCCCCAACATGTCTTCTCTGTCCTTGTATGGACCTGGCTGCAAATCTGTCCCAGGCCAGGTGACCCTCATGGGCCTCGCTGGGAGGGGACCTGCTGCTTGATTGTGGTCTGCAACTTACTGCGGCTGTGGAAACCCCATCCCTGGAGGGTGGGAAGGGTCAGCAGAGCCTCTTGCTCTTGCAGCAGCTGCTCAGGGTTGATGGGACTGGGGGGAACCCCCTCCTGGGGTGGCAGGGGGAGCCCTTGCCTCTGTTCCTGACTCCTGGTTTTTCTTGCAGATGGCAAACAACGGCACCCTCTACTACAGCCACGTTCAGTAAGTGCCCCATGCACATGGAGCATGTGGTGGGCCAGGGGGAGGGCAGTCCTACCAGATCCAGGAGGCAGCTGCTTGAGCAGCTCTGCTCCAAGGCTTGTCAAGGCCCCAGCAACACTGGGCTCGTCCAGGGCCCTAAGCCCAATGGGGAACACCCCATAAGCTTTGCATGAACCCATGACTTTTTTTTCTACAGGACTGCCCCCTTGCACTGCTGTAGGCAGTGTTGGCTGCCCCCACACACACACTTGCCTCTGTCCCTGCACTGCTGTGCCCAGTACTGGCCTGCAGCATCCCCTTCCTGGGCCTGCTCTGAGCCATGTGCTTCCCATGATGCTGTGGTCCTGCTACATCCGGTACCAGCCTTGCCTTGACAGCTGTCTGGGGAACTCTGAAGGACCAGTGATGGGTCCAGCCTGTGACCTCCTCACTGCCAAAAATGGGTCTGGGGTAAAAGGGATTCTCCTAGCCCACGGTGAAGCTGAGGCTCTGGTTTAGGATGCTGGGAGCTGGTTGCCCCCACCCTGGAGTGTTTTGGCTTTTTTGGGGGGCTTTGTCCTAACACATGATGTGTTGCAGGCCCCTGGTGTACACGGTGTCACTCCTGCTCCCGGCTGCCTACCTCATCGGTCTCTGCTTCACCCTGAAGACTCACTGTCACATTTACGACATTCACATCAGCGACTGCCACAGTAAGTCCCTGCCAGGGCGATCCGAGCTCCCTCCAGCCCTGTGCAGAGGGGGGCTGTGTACTCCCGGGACTGGCTGGTGCCTGGGGACAAGACTGGTTCTTGGCTCTGTCTGTGGGTGGGCTGCTTAACCCTGCTAGTCAAGTAGAGCCCCTCTATAGGGAGGGAAAATGGACAGCTCCCCTCCTTCTGCAGCTAATGATGGGGGTAAAACTAGCTGGCCTGGTCTAAGGAGGTGCTAAAGGATATAATGCATGAGCTGTGGGGGGAATTCTTCTGCCCTCCTTCCCCTCCCACCCCAGCAGCAAGGAACAGAACTTGACGTGAACCAGCTTAGAGGGGATTTGGGCTGGCATCTCTGCTGTGAGCCTGGGTCGGGCATGGGTGATGCCACTGGAGTCCTGGCTGTTCAGCTCCTGGAGCAGAAATCTAGCTGCCCCATCCAGGCCTGACCCTGGGGTACAAGCTGGTACTGATGGGGCTGCTGGCTGGGTGCACACTCCCATGGCCAAGAGGAGGTGAGCAGATGCCACCATGACACCAGGTCCTGGCTGAGCCCAGGGGTGACTTGAGACCCATCCTGGATCACTTGCTTCTTTCCCCCAGTGCCTGGTCACCATCACAGTGCTGTGGTCCACTGGTCCCGCTGGAGGGCCCTGGTCATCCTCCTGCTCTCCACCTTGTGCATGTCTGCCTGTGCCGACCTGGCCACAGAGCACATCAGCCCCATCCTCACCAGTTCTACCATCTCTCAGGTAAGGAGCCATCTGGCACCAAACTACCCTCTGGATCCCAGTCAGAGGATGCTGTGATACCCAGGCTTGAGGCTTGCACCAAATCTTGCCTCCAACAACCAGGCCACTGCTGCTGTCCCAAGGGTTGCACACAATGAGCCTTGCAAGGCTGGAATCAAGCAGTGTCCCCCAGTCACGAGACTTGCTTGGCTGTATGAACCAGCTGCCAGAGCTGGAGTGGCTTCCCCCCCTCCATTGGGAATATATTCAGAGCTCTATCAAGTGAGTGGGAGGGGACAGGTAGCTGCTGGCTGTGAATGTAGTGGCTCTGTCTTGGCTAACTCTCTCTCCCCTCTCCACAGTACTTCATTGGGGTGACTGTTCTGGCCATGGTGCCAGAGCTCCCAGAGATAGTCAACGGGATCCAGTTTGCCCTGCAGAACAACCTGAGCTTGAGGTGAGTGCTCAAGTCTGAGCCTGGCCTGGCTTTTGCAGCCTGTATGAAATAGCTGAGACCTGTCTGCTACTAGACAAGCAGAAGCTGAACCACGCACCCTAGATGAATGTCTACCTCTCTCAGAGGTACGGCATAGTGCTGGATGCTCTTGGAGCTGCTCCTAGCTTGGGTTGAGGTGGGGGCATTTAATCTGCCCCCAACTCATCCCTTCCTGCTTGACTGTATGTTGGAGGTATCTAGCACTCTCCATGGGGCACCTGCCTCGGATAAGCTCCTTGAGCTATCTGTGCTTTGCATGGGCCTGGTTCAGTGTGGTGGCTGCCGTCTTCCTTGAGTGCTAATAGGCAGTATGTCAATGCTGAGCCGAAGCTGCTCAGAGGCAGAGTCTGCTACTTCCTGCTCTTGGAGAGGATCTGGGAAGGACCCATGGGCCTGGCATGAGACATTACTGAGCACATTGCCAGAGCCACGTTGGGGGGGGG